AAAAAAAAAAAATTTTTTCTTTTTCCTTCTCCTTCCCTTTCTCTTTACCCTTCCCCCTTAAAACCCATTGAACTCAGCAACCGCCGCTGCGTTCGAATGAACCCAAGCATGGGGTTCCTTGGAACCTTGGCAGAGGGTTTGTTCAAACCTAGTGCTAGGTTCAAAAAAAATTTATGTTTTCTTTTGTTTCGTGGGTTTTGTTGTTTGATGATGAAAAAGAATTGATTGATGAAGAATGGAATTCCATTTCATTGAATTAATTGTTTGACTTAGAAAAATGGTGGTAAAAGTTCTTTCGAAGGAGGCAAAGAGAGGGAAAAAGAAGGATGAATGAAGAAGATTCGAGAAAGAAGATGCTAGAGGAAGAAGATGAGGGTAAAATTGTAATTTTGATGGGTTACATGGCATGAATATAACCTGTTATGTTGCCATGTCATCATTTTGATCTAACGTGTCTAAAATTATTGCCATGCCATTAACTCACTGTGAGTTAATGATGAATATTTAACGGAAGGACCAAATCGGGGTCAAATGGTAAACAGTAAGGATCAAATCAGGGATTTTTTTAGTTTATGAACCAAATCGAGGGTTCGCACAATAGTTTAGGGACCAAAAATGGGGTTTTAACCAAATATATATAAATATATAAGACGTATTCTTTGTCAAAGCTCTGTTGAATGGCCATACCTTGAGACTGTTATGGAAAAGATAAGGCGACAATGGCTCACCCCGTCGAAACCCCCTAGATGGAACCACCCCTCCGATAACTATTCCATTCAACAACACTTCATAACTAACAAAAGTCACACACCCCATGATTGATGAAATCCATCTCTCTACAAAACCCAAAGATTTCATAACAGTCTCAAGGTATGGCCATTCAGCTCGATCAAAAGCCTTGCTCATGTCAAGTTTAACAGCTTGCCATCCTTGCTTTTGATGACGCCATGCCCTCATGTAATGAAGCACCTCATAAGCAATAAGAAAGTTATCCGAGATGAGCCTATTTGGGAGGAAAGCACTCTATTCTTGGGAAATGACATTTGGCAAAACCTGTTTAAAATGATCACCAAGACTTTTGGAAGGACTATATAAATGACATTACAAAGACTAATTGGTCGGAAGTCCTTCATCATCTTAGGCTCACTGCTCTTCGGGACAAGCACTATGTAGGTTAGATTCAAATTATGTGGGAGAGCAACTCCATGATTGAGATACTACAAGCAAGGTTGAACCACATCATCCTTGATTGTACTTCAAAAATGCTGGAAAAATATTGGAGATAATCCATTTGGTCATAGTGCCTTCAAAGGATGCATCCAGAAGAGCACTTTTTTATTTCTAGCTTTGTGAATTCATGGAGCAAAAAAGCATTATCCCTATCCAGAACACAAGGAGTTAGGCATCTTGTTACTGCCTCAATGTTTGAGGGATAGGAAGTTGCAAAAAGGTTGTCAAAATAACTAATAACAATGGCTTGCATCTCATGTAGCTCAGATTTCCATTCTCCATTCTTATCTTATAGTCACTCTACTCTATTTCTATCCTACCGTCAAATCGCTCGTTTGTGGAAAAACCTTATGTTCCTATTGCCCTCTTGGAGCCATATGTCACGAAAGCGTTGTCTCCACATTATTTCCTCTCGTTCAAGCCACTCCTCCATGTCTTGACTAATCTTTTGCTCTTCCTGACATGTGGCCTGAGGATTCTGACACCTTTACAGGTCATCAAGTCTTTTCACACACTGCATTAGTCATTTATAGGTGTGCCCAAACTTGGAATCATTCCATCTACACAACCTTTCTGAGCATTCATGTACCTTCCGCGAAAGACAGCTCCAATCCCTCACACTTTCTATAAACTTCTAACTATCCTACGCTACTTCTTGACATCCATTATCATGAAGCCACATCTCTTCAAAATGGAATCTCTTTGGTTGTTTGGTTCATCGATCCCTCTGACCCTCAAGAGTGATCCATAGGAGGTTATGATCCAAGGCTAACGGTGGAAGTAAATGGACTTGGGCATAGGGAAAAAAACTTATGCAGTGTAAGGGTTGCTAGTCCTCTGTCAAGCTTCTCAAAGGTTGCATTGCATTGCCAAGTGAATAAGCCATCGATCATCTGCACTTTTGACAAGCCACACCAACCAACAACATCACAGAAACCATGGATCATCCAATCTGGCTATAAAACTCCTCCCACTTTCTCATTATGGCATAAGAGATCATTGAAATCACCACATATTAGCTATGGCGGTGAGGAGTGACATGCCAATTCTCATAGCAAGCTCCATGATATCTTCCTGTGTTGTCTCTCTAAGTGCCTATGGTATCTTGTAAATTGCCACTTTCTCTCTACCCAGTCCTCAACGTCCATATCAATATGATTGAAAGAGTAGCTTAAGAAAGACAACGTAATATTTTTATTTCAGAGCATAGCTAAGCCTTCAGTCTGACCCTTTTAATTAACCGTAAAACAATTCCTAAATCCAAGTCTTCTCCGGACACGTTCCATACCCTTTTCATCTAGTAGTATCTCACTCAAAAACACTACTATAGGCTACTTTAACCTCACCAATTCGATGAGGCTACAAACTGCTCGAAGGTTCCCAAGCTCCTAGTAGTTCCAACAAAGGAGACTCATGGTGATCGACGGGCTTGCATAACGGCACCCGTCGATAAGATAACTGGGGTGCCATTCTCTCCCACTCCTCTGCCATTTTTCTCACTACTCACATCAACATTTACCTCCTCCATGACTAGCTCTTCCTTCCTTTTAAGTCTAGGGGTAGCAAACCATGAAGTAGCAGCTTGGGGTTTACGACTCTGGACATCCCGTTTCCAAGCACGGGTTGTAGGAAAAGTAGTAGTTTGGGTAGCAGAGAACAAGATGATAGAGACTGTGTCTGAGTCCTGATCCGTCTAAGCAGGTTTGGGCCAGACATGGGCTTGCATAGAAACCAACTCATTGGACTCCACCTTTTTAGTAAAAGTTCTTGAGGCATTTTCCATGCATGTGCTCATGTCACCTAATTCAATGATGGCAACAATTTCCTTTTCCCTATCATGCGATAGAATCTTGCGATCATTAGGTGAATTTTGCCTTACCATTTCTACAGCCTTTAATCCAGGGTTATCATTATGCTCCTTGATTGCCTTTCCTTACTCGAGAGATAGTATGCCCTTACCACTAACCATAATGGCTCCAATCATCCCCCCTTTATTACTCCACCAATCATGAGGTTTCGAGATCCTAAGAGATCGCCTAAAGTCCATGTAACGCGCACCTTCCATATTGGTATTGGAGCATTGCCGCCTTACTGCCTCCCCCAACACTAGGTTGATGAAAGCATCCCTAAGCCATCTTCAACTACCTGTATCATCAGCATTCTATAATCGTTTTGACATAGCCTGCAAGTCCTCCCCATAAGGGCACTCCTTTACTACCATTGCTTCCATTTCTAAGCATAGCTCACATTTCTAAGCATAGTTCACAATCTCTTTCGACATGATCTAGCATGCCACAACAATAACAAAAGTTCGAATGTCACTCATATCGGAAATCAACCCAAATTTGTCCATACCTCATCGTTAATTTTATCCCACGTTTGATCAATTTCCTTGAGTCAACAAAGAATCTAGCACAAATGTAATCTACTCCCCATGAATCACCTCCACCATCATCCACCTTCACACAGCATCCTAACTCAACACCTATTTTCTTTTCAATTTCTGTCATCAAACGGTTAAAGGGGTAGGCCATGGATTTGAATCTATAAGGGAACTTCATACAGGTCGTCCCTTGTTACTTGTTTCTCACTTGGCGCTTCATGTAAAACCATAATGTGGTTGGCAAAATGCCAAGGTCCTACAGCCATCACTCTCTACATGTCAACAAGATGGAAGAAATAAAAAGCAAAAAGGTTTGTCTCTAAGACCCTCATATGCATGCCCTTTACTAGCCTCCAAACATTTGCCAGTTTATTCTCCATGGCTTCCATATTGTATCTCTTCTTAATCAAAACCATGCCCACAAGACACCCATTCTAGTCGCCACCCACAATTTGATAGACCTTCACCATCATCTAAGGATAACTCAACATTTCCTCCTCGGTTAGTGATAAATGTTTGCTTAGCACCTTCATCAGATCCCAAATGCTTGAGTTCACCATAGAAAAACTTAGTTTGAAAATCAACTACCACCTCCCACAATGAGGAGAAAAGAAAACACTCCCAAGACCTAGGAGAAAATATAAAAGAACCGTTTAGTATTCTCTTTTATATACTTCATCATTAATTATAACCAAAAACAATTAACAAGTTAAAAAAAAGTGAGATCTTTTTCTATTAACACTAATGGTTAGGAATTACTTTATTTATCTTGACAATACCATATATACACATCTTTTTAAATGTAAAATTCGAGTATTATTAATTATCTCCTTATTTGAATATTCGATGCTCTAGATAACCCCAATCTAAAAGACAAAAATCTATAATTACAAGATGCACTCAAGTGATGTGAAATTTGAAAAACTGAAACCCAACAATGCCACTACCTCTGCCTTCATGCCTTCTACTTCCAAGAAGCAAGGAAAGGTATGACAAAGCTATGAAGTCATGTGATTGAATACCGAATATTATGGTTACTTTATTTTAGTCAGTAAACATGCTTTCTATTTTGGCCGACCAGTAAACATCCAATTGATGGAAGAGGAACGGCATATTTTATTTGGTACTCAGTATTACACTTTTTATGATTGAGTCATGTAAGAGAGATATAAAAATTAATATTAATTTTAGTATTATTATTTATTATTATATTGATAAATTTAATTAAATACTTAATAAATTAAAAATTAATTTTTATAAATAAATTTAGTAT